GATAAATAAGATTGTATTGATACATCATTGTACAAGGAAATCAAACTCAGTCCTAGCCTGGTAGTTTTAGAACTAACTTTCTACAGTTTTTGCTATATTTCTTGCTCTATTGAAGTTAATTATTTGTACATTTGATAACCATTGCACATTCAACTGATGAAGACTTATCAACTAGGTTGAAAATGCTTTTACTCATTAAATACAGATTATTGGAGTAATTTAAGGAGTGAGTTTTTTTATCTAATTTATTATAAATATAAACATTACATTATATGCATATTAATAATGAATTTGGCATAATCTTAAAATTATGTAACAACAGATATGTAAACCAGACTGTCTAGGATAAAATACTTTTCTTTAATTAAAAAAAAAACAAAAAATACAATTCTTTACAAAAAACAAAATATTTCTGCATATGACTAAAGTAAACATTAATGCAGCAAGTTCTTATGTTTTCAAATAATCTCTGAAAATAGAATAATAAAAATGAGAAGGTAAAATCATGTCAACAATGTCAATAAGCATAGCCAGCATATCATGTGAATCAGTGAACTTAAGACTAACTGCTTCAATATCTTTGTTTCATCTCCATTCCATACATTTATCATTTCATTACATGTAACAGGCATTTGTTGTTATTTTCTTTTTAAGCATGTCATCAACATATGGTGTCTTTGGTTTTTGTCTTTCAGCCTTGTCTGGTGAAAAATGATCAAAATGATTGTAATGAGTGATGATTTAATGCATTATTGTTTTGGCTTACTGATAATTCCTTGCAAATTGTTCTTTCAGACATGTCATTGATATGCTTTGCAATAATAAACTACCTATGCTTTTTCCCTTTGGCATACTGAATCTGTACAATATTTTGTTAAACTAACAATGAAAGAAGTGATGATAGTTAGGGAGAACTTTTCCATTTAAAATATCATATATTTGTCTTCAAATATAACTTTTATATAAGTTTTGAGGATTGTCTATTTTCAATGATAGGACTGACATGTGGGACACTTGTGACATTATTTTGATTCACTATATCTTTCTTTTATTTTATAAATTTGTGTAAACCAAAGTGTAAATAATAGAAAGTTTTCCATGTCGAATAAAAATTTTAAACAGTTCTTTTACAGTAAACTTACACTGTAAATAAAGAAATCTTATTTATCTAACCACCTAAAAAGGGTTTGTTGACTAGCAAACAAAAATTGTTGTTTATTAGCCCACAAACCCCTTTTAGGCAGTTAGATAAATAACCAATTAAGCTGACTAATATTGCTGAATTCATCTGATAAAGATATCTTAATTGTGTATAATATGTCATGGTCTAAGTCATTATTGACAACAACTGTATATAGTTGTTGTCAATAATAGTAGAGCATTGATTATCCAAATCAATTGGGGACTGGGGTTGTTGAAAAATTGATTTTTCGAATAACCGATTATGTATGAAAAAATATATTAACCTATCCCATGTTGAAATTCATTCAAATCCTGGCACATCCTTAAGTACCTTCTCATGGTCATGCCAGTGTTGCCAGCTAAAACACACACACCAACAAAAATAACATTGGAGTAGCCTAAGACATAGCCAAAGATTGCAGCACCACAGCAATAGCAGAAATTTAAATTTGTCAACTGAAAAGCTTTCGGTTAATTGATGTTTCGGTTGATCGATATTTGGATAATTGATGCTCTACTGTATTTATAACTGTGTGTTTTATACATAATATATAAAACAACACACAGTAGTTATAAATACATATATATTTAATGAGGGGTTTTAATTCTGTTTAAAATTAATNGTTATTAATTAAACACTTGGTGTTTTTCCTCTTTATTCAGTTGAATAAAGAGGAAAAACACCAAGTGTTTAATTAATAACACAGTCTTGTGTTCAATAGTCAGTATTTAGTGTATTTAAACCATCCCACATAATAAGATAACTGAGGCAAGATATAACAAATACAGTATGTAATAACATATATAAGTATTAAGGCTGTTGCTTAACTTTGAAGTGTTGACTGCATCTAATACTACTAGAAAATCATCACACGTTATCTAACTACAATTTATATTAATTCTGTTTTAAATAATCAAAATTAGTAATAGTAAAAATAATCATATGTTTAATTAAACAATAACATTTTTATTCAAAAGTAGAGCTAGATAGAGAGTAGATAGGACTAGATGCACTGTTATCTACTGAAGGCTATTTGGGCAATTCATTAGCCTATATTAGATCAAGTGATTTTCTTTGACCTGTTTTCTGGATTAAAGTTGCATTTTATATGCTGTAAAATATGGTAAATTATATCAACTTCCAAAGCCTGATGTATTAATACTAACCCAAATTATCACCATAATTAATTAGGCTATCATTAATAATTAGAAACTAAGTAATTTGGTACTAGAGGTAGACATTAGGCATCATCTCTTATCTAAATTAATAATTATAATAATTTATTAAATAATTTTGAACATTCTGGAAAAAAAAACTGGGCTGAAGTGGGATTTNCTTACTCATCATGCCTGGCCCTTTTATATCAAGTCCTCTTTTTCGAACTTTTCTCCGATTTCGTCAGCGATGACGATCTTCTTGGTCCAATGAGGGGACGGGTGACACAATCGTGACAAGAAATGTACTCATCTCAACACGGAACCTAACTCGTGGGAATCGAGGTTTTTATTGATTTTATTTTTCCTTTTACTCTTTTAATTTTCTGTTTTCTCGTTCCGTCTTTATAAAGTTTATTAAACAAAAATTTTAGTTTATAACACTAAATTTCTGGTCCTCACAGTATTCTTTCAGCAGAAATAGTTTTTTCTGTGGAGACGCCGATATTTTCTCAGTGTTCTTCACTGCATATTTACATACATTTTGCATAATTTTAAGGAATAAATGTTAGTTCTCATACCTATACACTAATTTTCATTAATTAAGCTTTCATGCTCTTTAGGCTTTTATTTAGATTTATATGATCCGTGCTTAACTTTTGACCACCACTGCTGTGTTAATTTGTGGCAAGCCATTCTTACGTGAGAACCATTTTCATTCTAAATACAACTGAAAAGTAATTTGCCTTATACATTTTTTTCTTTTATACGGTATTTTTCTCATTTCCCTTGCTAATTATACAGAGTACTTTAAAATACTTAAAGACTTGAAAGTTGGTAATTTTTATGAAATGAATTTTATAGGACATTTACATTGAGCCGGAAATTTAGTACAAATGAGTCTGTATAAAAAACAAACAAAAATATCTATCAACGAGTTGCTTATCATTCACAGCTGTATAAGGTTTTGTTATAAAAACTTTGTATATTTTCAATCTCCAAAAACTTACTTGTAAAGATCGAGCTAGAATATGCTATATAGAGTCGCTGAAGCGACAACATGTTTGAGTAAAAATTAATTACATGTCTGTTATTTTTTTTAGTCAAAGGGACGTGGCATTTCTGTTGTGTAAACGCAACGAACTAAAATATTCTAATTCATTATATAAGTACCCATCGTTTCCATTAAGAGTGCTGTAACCATTGTCACAGTCACAGTAATATATTCTAGTTCGTTACCTGTAAACCTTACAGGTACGTACAGAATCTACTGTCAAGCATGCGTAGATCAATCGTTTTCAAATTATTACCGTTTTATCTTTGATGTACACGAAACACATTTTAGTATAAAACCTTCATTCAATAACTTCGTTTTACATTTCTAATTGTTTCCCTATGGAAAGTCGTGATATCAGGGACGTAAAGTAATCATTACGACGTGAAATTCTAAAATACTGGTGTCGAAAATATTTCTTATACAGTTGACCCCCTATAACGCGGTAGATACGTTCCACTTTATAAGAATTTCGCGTTGTAGGAATCCTTAAATATATGAGCCAATCACAGCCCCGCACGTGTGCAGTTTACGGAATACGGCTGTTTGAAAGGTTTTCTTCCATAAAATTAATCGATTCTAGACTAATTTCACTCAACATTTCAAAAACACGTATAATTTTTTGGGAATAATCCGTATTAACTATGCTATAAACAAAAAATTGTAGGATTACTTACCGAGTGTGCACCGTTCGNACCTTCATTCAATAACTTCGTTTTACATTTCTAATTGTTTCCCTATGGAAAGTCGTGATATCAGGGACGTAAAGTAATCATTACGACGTGAAATTCTATAATACTGGTGTCGAAAATTTTTCTTATACAGTTGACCCCCCTATAACGCGGTAGATACGTTCCACTTTATAAGAATTTCGCGTTGTAGGAATCCTTAAATATATGAGCCAATCACAGCCCCGCATGTGTGCAGTTTACGGACTACGGCTGTTTGAAAGGTTTTCTTCCATAAAATTAATCGATTCTAGACTAATTTCACTCAACATTTCAAAAACACGTATAATTTTTTGGTAATAATCNTAATATTGCTGAATTCATCTGATAAAGATATCTTAATTGTGTATAATATGTCATGGTCTAAGTCATTATTGACAACAACTGTATATAGTTGTTGTCAATAATAGTAGAGCATTGATTATCCAAATCAATTGGGGACTGGGGTTGTTGAAAAATTGATTTTTCGAATAACCGATTATGTATGAAAAAATATATTAACCTATCCCATGTTGAAATTCATTCAAATCCTGGCACATCCTTAAGTACCTTCTCATGGTCATGCCAGTGTTGCCAGCTAAAACACACACACCAACAAAAATAACATTGGAGTAGCCTAAGACATAGCCAAAGATTGCAGCACCACAGCAATAGCAGAAATTTAAATTTGTCAACTGGAAAGCTTTCGGTTAATTGATGTTTCGGTTGATCGATATTTGGATAATTGATGCTCTACTGTATTTATAACTGTGTGTTTTATACATAATATATAAAACAACACACAGTAGTTATAAATACATATATATTTAATGAGGGGTTTTAATTCTGTTTAAAATTAATTTCAAATTATGAAAAGAAATTATATAGAAAATAATAAATACCTCTTTTCTAGAAATTTCACATTCTTTTTTATATAATTCATACTTGGATGTTTCTTCAGTATATATGTCAAGAGCTTCTATAATTTGTTCTGCCTTTAAATAATAATATATTTATTAAGTAAAATAATGTTTTAACATTTTTTGTGTTGATTAATGAAATAATATCTCTTACAGATTTTATTGTTTCTATTGTTTTCTTAGAAGCTAATCCACTTTCTTCATCTGGTTCTTCTGTATCCTGTCAATCAAAACAAAATATTACATTGTATAAAGTACAATGTTGTAATAATTAACTTTATTTTAAAATGAATGCACTTTTTGAAGTATGAACTTAAAAAACAAATTAGAATTTTAATATTCATTCTGATCATTTTGAATGTATATTTAATAGGCTAAGAATTTTTATACATATACTAACTTACAATAATTAATAATTATAAGTAAAGTAAAAATAATAAAAGTTTTCTTATGTCATATATTCTTACATTGAAGAGCAGAAAATTATAATTTCAATAAATCTTTCTTGAACATAACTTTAATATTTTCAAACCAATTTACCAATGAAGAAGTAATGAGGAGAATTTTCTTTATTAATTTTAATCATTAGTTCTTCAATCTGGAGATCTTTCATTGCATAGTTCCTATATACAGGGTGTTTATAAATGAATGGTGCGGTTTTAAAAATTAATAATAAATCTATTTATTACCTTAATCTCAGGCATTGACCGAGTTTATGTATTGTCAATGCCCGTGTCCCTTGAGGAACTGTGTGATCAGATAAAGCATTGCACTGCAGACCATCACGGAGGACATGCTACACTGCGTATGGAAAGAATTTGATTACCATGTAGATGTGTGTCGTGTGACCATGGGTGCACATATTGAAAAATTGTGATTAATGCATAAAAAATGTGGACAGTTACCGTTACTTATGCTGTAACGTTTGCCCATATAAGGTAATAAATAGATTTATTATTAATTTTTAAAACTGCACCATTCATTTATAAACACCCTGTATAATGAACAGTTTTTGATTGGCATTGTAACTTATTTTAATCAATGTTACAAGCATTCATGTCAACTGAAACATTCCTCAAGCTTCTTGTTTCTATGACCCTATTGAAGAGATATTTGCATCTTATTTAAAGTGTGCTGCTCTTTGTTTTCACAGACTCATTCATTTTTATTTGTTTACATTCATTCTTCTTAAGCAAGATAATGTGTACCATCTCTTTTTTAAGCATCTGCTATTATTTTCAGAGAGCAAACTCCTAAAATAACTTTTTGTGGATGCACAATGGACTTTTTAGGTCAAGATGCTTTCCACTTGCACAATTCAGTTAATATATAATAAACATCTTACATCTTCAAAAGCAAAAAGTTAAACAAACTTCTATTCTAAACTATTACAATTTTTTTCCTTTTATTTGGTTATCACCTCTCTGCTAGTGAAACATATTTTACAACACTACCAAAATTCAGTGCATAAAAAAAATTAATTTAAAATGTTACAAAAGAAACAGTAACTGTGCAAGTCTTCCATAGAATTAATTGACATGCATGGAGTAAGTAATTGTAGCATTCCATGATACCTGCAATCGTGACATTATGATATCTAGACTTTGGGGTTATGTGAAGGACAGGGTTTATGCTGACATCCCAAAATCAATGACCTCAATGATCTTTGTACATACTGGACACTATTGTTTTTGTTATACTACAGATATTGCAGAATAGATGGCAGAAAATTAAATGTCATTTAGGTATTCTTTGTGTAACAGGAGGAGTACACATGGAGCTTTTATACTTTTGTGTAAAAAGAAATAAAGATAGAACTATGCTGATTTTTGCAGCAAAATTTAATGAGTTTGTGTTCAAATTGCAGACCTTACTTTTATTTTAATTCTTACCTAATTTTACTTACAACCTACAAAATGTGTCAGTTTGAATTTGGACATGACTATCCCTCTCTCACCATGTGTAATGAATAAGGACTAAATAATTACCTAATTCCTGTTTATGATAACTGTAAAAAAAATAAAATTTTTGCTATTTTTTTGGCTTATTTATCCTAATTTCACAGGATGTAAAGCTTTCACAAAGAAATATAAAATCAACAATTCATTCACCAAGTTCATTTTTTCAACGTAAGAATTAAAAATGTGTTTAATTACAAAATTTTTTATTATTGTTAATTATTATGAGAACATCTATACTCAGTGTGTATATGTTATAATAGTATATCTTGCAGTGCCATAATATTGTAAATAAAAATTATTCTTTATAAAATTTATTCTAAATTGTAATTTAGTAGTTGTAAGTTTCAATATCTATTTCATATCAGCTTATATCTAATGCTTAAGTAATTATTCATAGTTATTTAGTATTATTAAAGCAGGAATCATTTCAACTGAAAATATCCCAAAGGAATTCTTTCACTATCCTTAACAAAGAATAGAACAAATTTAACAATTTAATAGAAAATAAAAGAATTTCAGGCTGCTATGTTCATCTACATATTGATATTATAAAAATCCTGAATTATCTTAACTTCATTATGAAGTTAAGATAATTCAGAGTCAATAAGCAATCATAATCATCAGAGAGTGTACTTATATAAACATATATGGTATAGCCACTATTTGTATAGACTGTGTGTGAAACAATTGTGTGAAAGCTTAATGCGTATGAAAGGAATGTGAAACAATTGTAACAAAAATAAGTATTTATATATCTAAACAGAAAAGGTACAAGCAGCTACAAATTTTTCATCTCCATTATAATCTTGTGGGATTTCTGTTATATATATGCAATCTGTTGTTAAGTAGAACATTGTTAAATAAAGTATACCTGTATTACTTTTCTATTGAGCACAAATTAATGTACAAATAAAATCTTTCAAATTTATAAAAGAGATCACTTTTTCTGTATAAATATTCAAAATTTTCCAGAAATAATTAAATAAAATATTGAATAATTTTAATTAATACAATTGAAAGTCAAAACAGTTAATTTCATAATATATATAACAATAATAATAATTCATAACCCAATTTAATTAATTAATTCCAAACAATGAGCTGAATTATTGGGCTATGTTAGGTTATAAGAGTAGACTTCTGTCTATCTCTAGTCAAATTACTGTAGCTATTAATTTATTCATTAATTTAATCAAAAGTAGCCTGATAATTCAGCATTGTTTGAAGTTAGTTAATTTCATAATTTTAAGATATTCAATGTTATATTTATGGAAATGATTTAAAACAAGTATTATATAAGTATTTAAAAGAATATGCCTCTTAATATGATTTATTTAAGTGTCAATACTTCATTACAAAAATTTACATAAAAATTATGTGTACTTCACTGTAAATATATTATATTGTGTAACTAATTAACTTGTTTAAAATTAATTACAATTCTTTATTTCTAAAATATCATATAATTAATAATTACTTTATTGCTTTCTTCCAAAAAAGATTTTTCATATTCTTCTTCTCTTTCCTGTAAGTAATAAAATAAAATTAAAACTAAAAATCAAAATATATTTTTTAACATTCATTATATCATATAAAAAATACTCTACTTAATAATTAAACATAAATTAGCATATTATGACAGTAATAGAAATGCAAAATGAGCCTAAAATATATGACTAAATATGATCAAAATTATATTTTCACATTTAAATGATTTTTCTGTCCTTATATAAAATCTCCTAAATAAGTATTAAAAGAAAATGATGACTTGTAAATTTATCTTTATACAAATTTATTTATTTTTTCATTTTACATTATGTCACATAAATTTAATTATTTCTAATTAAAATTATAATTAGAATATTTTAGTTACCATTTCTTCTTCTTCCTGTAATACTAATATTTCTTCTGTTTTACACCAAAGACGTAATGATTTATCATGAGATGAGGTTACTATTCTTCTTCCATCTGGTGAAACTGCTATTGCCCAAATCTCACTTTGATGTCCCTATATGTTTTTAAAGCAATTATTCCATTTTAACAGTTTACTATATTACACTTGCACATAAATAATTATGTGCAAAAAGAAAAAATAATAATAAGTTAGTTTTTTTATTTATTATAAAGAAAATCAATACTAATTTTATTGCAATTCAAATACTTTTAATTTTTGAATACTATCTTGGAAACAAATCTTAAAGATAGTTTCCTCAAAAATAAACCCAATCCAAAATATCACATTTCTCTGCATAGAATTACTATAATTAAATATTAAAATATATTTCATATAAAAATTAATACAGTATAATACATTCAATTGCAACAGTTCTACATCTTTCAGCAGAAATATTTTACTTATCAAACATTTTTAACTGACTTTGCAACAATCTTTATGATTGAACATTAACGGATTAACAGAACATGAAGATGGCTGCCCAATCAGTAAAAACATTTGATAAATAAAATAGGTTAGAACTGCTGGAAGAGGTTAAAACTGTTGTAATCAAATGTAAAATACCAGTTTGAGAGACATATAAATATAAAATATTACTCAAATAGCATAATAAGTTAGTAATGAAATATATTATCAAAAGATATTAATAATGAAATATATTATAAAAAGGTATCCCATTTAAAATTAGCACAACTGAGATAATGAAACATTAATGCTGTGAATTTTATAGGGAATATTCAAAAGAAAAAGTGTATGAGACCAATCACAGAACTATACACAAACTAAAGAAAAGCACTTAGAGAAACAGTAACCTATCAACATTAGTATTTTAGATCACTTTAAGCATCTTCTAAGTTTCTGTAAGTTTAAATAATGTTAAAATAAAGTTTCTAATGAGTGTCTTTTACCTAAATTAATTTGTATCATTTCCAAAGATTAAAGATGATTTTATGTATGACATTCTGTATATTATAATTAATTCTTACAATTTTCAAAGTAGACTAATTTTTATATTTACAATACTATTTTTTGATCATTATTCAACAGAGCTTAAATACATTGCTTCAATATATTGGAGAGAGGAAAAAATTAAAATTTATTAAAATATTATTTTTTCATAGTTATTTATTTTGATAAATTTTAACAGTTTCTAAGAAAACATCACCATCAAAAAATTACACAGAACATGCAATAAGAAAAGTAAATAAATACACAACAAAAAATAAACTAACAAATTTACTTTCCTTAGATAAAATTACAATTTTAAAAAAGCTTTATTCAAGATATAACTATACTTCCAAGCAAATGTATTTAACAGTAAAGTTTTTAAACTTATAATGATGTATTTAAATACATTAATATTATTTATTCCTTCAAATATAAATGTAATGATTGATAAAACTAGCAATAAAATATTCAAATCTAGCATATACAGTGTACAACAAAGACATCATAGTATACATATATTAAACAATTATTACTCAAGAAAAAATAATATAAAGCTTGTGTATGCTAAATATGATTTAAGCACTTGATCAATTTTTTGATATATATATGAAAATTACAAATGGGATACCTAATCAACAAAGGTGCAAATTCATTATTAAATGTTAGGAAGTTCTTGTTCAGAAATGAACAAGAACTCCTAACATTTAATAATGAATAATCAAATGGAAGTTCTTGTTCAGAAATGAACAAGAACTTCCATTTGATTATTCATTCCTAATTTGTTAAAATTAGAAAATTTAACAATATGATTTTTAATTTTTACATAAAAATATATTTAAAAATTTTCTCAGCATTTAAATAATTTGTTTAATAATTTAACTAATTCAAATCTTATGTTCTTAATCTGCAAATGGTTCTCTAAAAATTTAATATATTTTCAAATTTGTAAACTTCTGACATTGAAAACGTAAGAAACTATGATTAATCAAAATCAAGAAATCAGGGAAGATCAGAATGTTCATTATGTATAAATAAATTTGAATTTCTTATGGTTTTTTAAGAAATCTTTTAAGATCAATGGTAATAAACAAACAGACTATAGCTGAAGCCCCTGTATAAAAAAGAAAATACTTGTAAAATAAAAAATTCAAAAAATGAATTGTATAATTAGAATACAGTAAGAATTGAGTTAGTTAAAAATATCAATTTTAAAACTTTAATGTTTTATTATTTATCCTGTAAAATTCACATTCTTTTAATTAATTTTTATGCACTAAATATATCTTAGAGAAATTATTTCTGATGAAAAAAACATTTTCTTATATCTGTATTATCATTACCATCTTTACATGATGTTATAATATGTGATAAATTTATACAACATAATAATGTACATTATATACTGTATATGAATACAGTAGAACATCGATTATCTGAATATCAATCAACTGAAACATTGGTTAACCAAAAGCATTCCAGTTAGCAAATTCAAATTTCTGCTAATGCTAGTGCTAGGTTGGCAGGGAGGAAGTGAGTGCTGTGGCACTGCAGCACCTCTTCCTCCCTGCCAACCTAAACTTTAGGCCTACTTTAATATACTACTTTATATAAGATATGTATTTGTAAGACATGCGATACAAAATATATATACTACCGCTTTGTGTTTACTATATTTTTTCGTAAATGATCAGTTCTATGAAAAATCAGTTAACAACCCCAGTCCCAAATTGTTTTGGATAATCAATGCTCTACTGTACCATATAATATAAACTGATTTTACATATGTAAAAAATTTTTATGCTGTCATTATAAAAATTAAAATTTTTATTACAATTGACTAAAAATGTAACTTACTCGTAAAGTATTAATTTTTTTAAAATTATCAGCATCCCATTGCTTAATGGTTTTATCTTTACCTCCAGTGAAAAACATGTGTGTCTTTGGTATAAACTTCATGCACATTATACTGAAATTAATAAATTTGAAGTAATAATTTATCAAAAGAGAAATCTGAATTATAAAATAAATAAAACCCACCAATATAATGACGGTTTTTCAAAATAATGGATGAGGTTACTATTCTTCTTCCATCTGGTGAAACTGCTATTGCCCAAATCTCACTTTGATGTCCCTATATGTTTTTAAAGCAATTATTCCATTTTAACAGTTTACTATATTACACTTGCACATAAATAATTATGTGCAAAAAGAAAAAATAATAATAAGTTAGTTTTTTTATTTATTATAAAGAAAATCAATACTAATTTTATTGCAATTCAAATACTTTTAATTTTTGAATACTATCTTGGAAACAAATCTTAAAGATAGTTTCCTCAAAAATAAACCCAATCCAAAATATCACATTTCTCTGCATAGAATTACTATAATTAAATATTAAAATATATTTCATATAAAAATTAATACAGTATAATACATTCAATTGCAACAGTTCTACATCTTTCAGCAGAAATATTTTACTTATCAAACATTTTTAACTGACTTTGCAACAATCTTTATGATTGAACATTAACGGATTAACAGAACATGAAGATGGCTGCCCAATCAGTAAAAACATTTGATAAATAAAATAGGTTAGAACTGCTGGAAGAGGTTAAAACTGTTGTAATCAAATGTAAAATACCAGTTTGAGAGACATATAAATATAAAATATTACTCAAATAGCATAATAAGTTAGTAATGAAATATATTATCAAAAGATATTAATAATGAAATATATTATAAAAAGGTATCCCATTTAAAATTAGCACAACTGAGATAATGAAACATTAATGCTGTGAATTTTATAGGGAATATTCAAAAGAAAAAGTGTATGAGACCAATCACAGAACTATACACAAACTAAAGAAAAGCACTTAGAGAAACAGTAACCTATCAACATTAGTATTTTAGATCACTTTAAGCATCTTCTAAGTTTCTGTAAGTTTAAATAATGTTAAAATAAAGTTTCTAATGAGTGTCTTTTACCTAAATTNAAGTAAATTTGTCATATTGAAATGTCTCCTGTTCTTTGTTGTAGAGACATGTTTAGAGTGACGCTAGTTTCATGCGAATAAGTCTCGATTAAATGCTATATATTCCATATATATATATATATTATATACTGTATGTATATTATTTATCATTATTTTATTTTATTATAATATTTACTATATTTAAATTTTTTCCTGATAATGAGTATGCAAAGAAATTAAAATAAATACAGAAAAAGTTCAAAAATTATGTAATTAGTAATTAGAAAATATATTTCCCTTAGTTAAATTATGCATAAAAATATATTAAAATATCAATTACTTGATTATATTTTAATTATTTCATGCTCCAATATCAATGATGTAAACAGAAACACAACATTGACATTTTTATGCTGAGATACTTCATCTTTGAATGCTCTTAAAATATAAATACAAACATCCATAGAAGTTTTTAAAAGCAGACTAACACTGAAACCATGGGAACTATCAACATCAGTCAGAGTTGTCCAATCATATTCCAAAAGAAACAATGACAAAAATGCAAATGTATTCTACATACATATATGCAGTTTTAGTTGTCAGTATCATAAGCTTTGACCAATTCCTTCATTAGTTGGAATTATTATTTATGTCTTCACTAACTTATTCATTTTTTTGTGATGCACATTGTTCCATGGAAAGGTTTGATGAGCCAAACATCACATTCTTATCCATCACTGACATTGAGTTATTATGGTAATCATTGTTTTTGAGATAAGCAAACCAGATCAAATGGTTCTAGCACAAATCTGCCTTAACAAGTCATATATTTATGATAATATCTAAATTTATTACATTAATATAATACTTTATTTAAATATTTATACCAATGGAATTATTGTTGAATTATAAAATGGCTATGTATTTTTTTCATGATTTTAATCCGATTAAAAAAACTGCACCATCTTGGCCTTTATTTTAGTTGATTTTTTCCAGTTTTAAAGAAGCAAAAAAATATCTCTCAACATATATTTGAGCCTTGACTTATATTTAAATCCAATTAAAATTTTTTTCAATTTCAAAAACTGTTTGGTACATGTTATATAGTTAAACTAATGCTAAAATTTGGTATGTGTGATTGTTTAGCAATGCTAAACATTTGCCCAGTTGTGATCTGTCAAGCTGAAGCATGCAACCTATGCAAGAGAATTAAAAGTTTGGTGTGATTGTAAATAAATATTGAATATGACATTAAAATCAACAGAATCAGGCTTGGTAAGTTCTACAAAAATTTTATTTTAATAACTTTTTAATTTTATATAGGAATATCTACTAATCAAGCAATTGTCAAAAATTGAAGGGAAAGTTACTAGTAATTGAAGGGAAAATTTATCAATAAAATTTATTCTGTTGTAAATGTAAATTTTTATTAAAACTATAAATTTATGTATTTGATATGATTATATGTTTTAGACTTTATAAAAAAGCTTTGTACAAAAGGTTTTATACAGTTATAAAAAAAAAATGAAACAAGTAAAACTAAAAGAATGTTGTGGTTCACTTTTGATGTAATAAAATTGCAAGTAAACTTTCCAAAATACATGTGAAATATGCAAAGAAGCTTACTTCCATGTATGATGTATATGCTGAGCAGTTGCTTTTAATGCAATATTTCTTAAAGCCATTTATAATTGTGTCGTCAACATTCTTTTATAATTCTATTATTAATCTTTTACAAAAATATATGGAATTTTTATTCCACATATTTTTGTTCGAGGAGGCTGAAGAGCATGATAGCAATGAAACAGAAAACGGGAATGATGAAAGTGATAAGTTTCAATGACCTTCTAAATTTTATTAATATAACTTGCTAACTTTTTGCATGCAAACAAAATTAATAATAAAAGGTCAACTTATATATTCAGGCCAAAACAGTATTATATCTACCTACACAGCAATTAAAAATATAAAAGCGATAAATATAGTATATTAGACAAACACATTATTAATAATTAAAATTATCCATAAAAAAATTGTTGTGAGCATATTCTCAAATGATTTACTCTAGCTATAACTTCATACATTGTTATATATCTAAGTTTCATATATATTAAAAAAGTTATAATATTAAATAATTTATCATCATCATTAAAAATAATTACCTTTCATCATGTGCAAATATAGATCTATGGCAATCTCCAAAATCTAATCCCCATATTTTTACATTTCTATCAGCTGAACCAGTAATTATCAGATTGCTATCATATGAAATATCCATGCAAATTACTGGAAATTTATGACCAAATAAAGATAAGAAAAACTGAAACAAAAATTATAACTTTATTAATAAAATTATATAAAAATTGTTTTTATTATTAAATTATCGATGTAAATCAAATTAAGATGCATGTATTAAATATAAGAAATTTATTTTCAAATTTAACAAAATAAATATGACATTAAATTACAAAATTTTAATGAATTTTGAAATGTAAAAAATGTTATCAAAAACTGAAAAAATCAATATATTTTGCATAAAACCTGCATAAAATGATGTTAAGATAATTTATTAACACCAAGACTCACTTCAAATAGCAAACTGAAAATAAATATAATTTATGAAATTGATAAAGTAAAATTTTGTAATTATGCTTTATGCTAAAAATCACAACTGCAAAATTAAAATTACTAAAGTACATTTTTTGATAAATTATGATAACGATAACTAACAATGATAAATTAAAGTAATACTTACTTTTAAAGTATCTACAAAAAATATTTTCACTGTACTATCAAGAAGTGATATAGCTATTAGTTTTCCATTTGGGCTAAATTTCAAAACAATGAATGTAAAAATATATTAAAATATTAAAAAACTTATTTGTTTATTTTAGAATTAAATATAAATATTGTATATAGAAAATATCAAGGGTTGAGTGATAAATAAGGCCTTCATCTTTATAAACTTAGTTTGGAAACAGGTAGAATAATATGATCAAAAAGTAGTGAGTCATTTATTTTAATCATATATATTCATTTTTTCAACCTAATCACCGTTTAATGTGACACAGTTTTCCAAATGTTAAGTCTATCTTTGATTTCTGTTCATGAAGAAACTGATATTTTCCCAATCTGTTCCCCTACAACAGGGTTGAACTTTGGCATCTGATGAAAAGCATTGATCTTTCAATATAATTCTGAGAACAATTAGTCTGATGGTGTCAGATCTGAGCTGTAAGGAGGGTATAGAATAACTTGTAGTTTTAGTTTCTTAAGAATCTTTGCTGTTTTATTAGTGAAGTCTTGAATTATCATGGTGCAAAAAAAAACACAAAAAAGATTAGACAACAAGCAATGCACCAAAATTTTTAACTCAAAAAAAAAACTTAGTTTTTTTTGGTATGAAATGAACAAAATTTTTAATAATTCACATATTTTTGATTTTTCAAAATATCATCTTCAGGAAAACAACAAATCAACCAGAGTACATGAATTGGAACAAATTTAAAATTTTAAATACAGTATGTTCCAATTCATGTACTCTGGTTTGTTTGTCATTTTCCTAATGATGATACTTTGAAATATCAAAAATGTTTGAATTATTAAAAATTTCATTCATTTCACACCAAAGAAACTAAGTTTTCTTTTTAAGTTAAAAATAATATTCTTTCTGGCTTTAAGGCTGGTTAACACTATATATATATTTGTCTAGCACAACATATTCCAGTACAGCATTGCCATAGCAACAAATATTTTCAGATGGCAAATTCATGCACTGTACTATATTGTCACAAAGTCTATTTTTGCTGTGCTGGAATAGTATTGACATCCACTAGCCAATAGCATAGCAATATTTGGATAATGTCACAATGAGATGTGCACGTTAGACTTATACAATTAATCTGGAAATGAATGAGAAACTTCAGTGAACACAAGTATGGTAAATATCAATATTCGTTTTCTTTATTGCATGATATCAATAAAGAAAACAAATGCTTTTAAAATCAGAAACTGAAAGAATGCTATGATAAAATATTTTAAAAAATAATGTTTGGGAAAGTATAGTAAAAGAAATGAAAACAAATGGTATATTTGACAAAACTTTTTTATATCCTATTTCCTCATTGGCTATTTCTATTCACTGTTTCAACCAGTTTATTACAGCAAAGTGAATGAATAAATATTCCACTGTCTGGTAACAAGCTGTACTGAAATAAATTGTGCTGGAATTTATTATGCAGCAACAAAGCACAATGAACTGAAATATCATGCATAAACTAGACACTTATAACTACTAAATACAATGGTCAATGTGTCTATTCTTGCATTTCACAGAATGCTGTGGTAGTAGACCTTATTTAATCAATCAATCTTCATATTTTCATAAAATATTATTGTTATTATTATTATAAAAATTTTAATTAATTCTTAACAAACTTATATATAATATAATAAATATTTATTAAAACAAATTATAAGTTTTAAATAAAATATTTTGACCAATTTTACTTTCAAAATATTGTGATAGTATTCTATAATAAAACAATATAAAATTTATAAATTAGTTTTGTTTCTTTATTAGAACTAAATTTCTAACTTAAAAATAAAATTTTGTATTTTACAACATGTTTTGACTTACCTATGCTTAATGCAAAGTACATCATCAGAAAGCTTTAAAGTTCTTGCATGCACAAGAGTTAACTTTTTCCTAAAAGTATACATATATTCAATGTTAATTTTAAAAATTTTTAATTTATCAAAATAAATAATATAAGAAAAACTCCTCCAAATAAGCCTTTGCTAACAATATTCTTTATTTTCATAAAAATTTTCACCCATTCTAGCAGCCACTGTCAGGATACGAAACAGAAATGATAGTCAACGCGCATTAATATGAGTCACTATGGGTACAGTAGTTAGCTTGCTTCATTGAAAATTTGTGTTAATAATTTTCAGGGTCAAGGGCAAAGTTGTATAATTAACTGAGTTAAAGATTAATAGGCAATCAAAATCTCTAAATTATAATATTTTGAATTTACTGATTTATTTTACTTTTAAAATAAAATGATATTTATTTACAAAACAAATTAATGATCTAAATGATTTTCAAATCAAACAAAATGAGGAGGAGATGGTATTTGCCATTTAAGTGTGGAGCAGTATATCAGAGTGGTTAAACAAAATGAAGCCAAAAGAAATCCATGATTTTTTCTGTTGTTGAAAAAGTAGAAAATGTTTTTTGGCCCCAAAAAGTAAAAAATGAGCCAATTTTGGCACAAAGTAGACAAACCTAGCATCACTGTATGCATCCCCAATATGCAAAATAGCATGTGTTTGCATGAGACTGCATCCATTTAATGATCCGGAATCAGCATAATAAAGTGCATCAAAGGTATATATACCAACTTGCAGTTTCTTGTAAACTCTCTCTCTTGACCGTTATTTGATAGCATAGAACTATGTATTCTCTTTTTTGTTGAATTAAATTGGTTATTTTAATTGTTAACCTTCATTTTCTATTCATTTCCTATCTGTCTCTCAATCCTCCTCGATCCCAAATCCGATCACCTGTGCACATGACCGCTGGTGCAAATTCCAAATTTGCAGCCATAAAGGTTTTTGTGTCTATCCTAAAAGACACAGTGGTGTCAGTCCTAAAGAGATGCTGACCCACTGGTCACAGTAGAATAGTCCATTAAAACTAAATGTTTGAATTGCTCTATAATTGGAGGTCAAACCAATCTTTTCTTACTAGGAGAACAAAATCTATTCTATTCAAAATAGAACATTTATTACAGTACCACTTTTCTTTTTGCACTTTTCAATCTGAATAATAAAATTATTATTGGAAATAAGATTACTTCTTGAGAATTTTGAAGTTAATTTACAGTTTGGTTTAACAAATTCTGGTAAGATTTTTGTTCACTTTATTGCATAAAAATTAATGTTGTGACAATGGCATTTTGCCAGAGCAACTGCAAAATTCACTTTAACATGAGAATTGCTTTAAGAGATAATGAGTATACAGAAACAGTTAAAATAAATAAAAAATAATAATAAACTTAAATACAGTAGAGCGTTGATTTTCCGAATCAATTGGGGACTGGGGTTGTTCGTATAACTGATTTATGTACAAAAAAATAGTTTAACGTATCCAATGTTGAAATTTTTCTCTGTTGCGTGTCGCTTTGCGTTGAATTTTCGTCGATGTTAAGCCCAACAAAGACTATTGTATCGTTAAAAATTATTTTTTTATTTTGTACAAACAAAATAAATATATTGAAAAATATAAAAACAATAAAAAATTATACTTCAGATGTTAATTTAGTATCAAAAACATAAAATATTTGAGTAGCCCAAGACATAGCCAAAGATTGAAGCTCCACAGCACTGGCGAAAATTTAAATTTGCCGACTGGAAATCTTTCGGATGATTGACTTTTGGAAAATCGACGCTCTACTGTATTTTCACATATCTCATATAATGTAATTTCCATGCAGATGAAAGACACCGTGCATCTTTATGATTGATGCAAAGATGATATCTGGCATTCCCATATATAATTAACTTTCCAACTATTTTACCTGTTTAATTTCTGGTGGCTCCTACATGCTTCACCTAATTGAAATATGGAGTTTTCTTAGGGACAGAGAACATAATGTCTAATTCTGTGGTGCATTTTACACATCATATTCATGTCCTTTAATTCTGGTAGGTAGATCCATGATATGTAGCCTATGGTCTACCTCCTTCAGATTTTATCCCTAGAGACTGGGGACCACATTGAGCTGGCATGAATATCTTGTCCAAATAAATGTTTACTGTTTGCATCATCAAAAGCGCCAAAGTTGTGAGTTTTGGTACTAATTTTTTTTTTCTTTTTTTTTTTTTACAGAAATGTCTTCCATATGACTGGAAATGTCACCATACCAGAAATGGTTGCATTTGAACCGCTAAATATATATCTACACAGTGATGAATATGGATACCTTAATTATGATCACCTAGTAATATATACGAAGTCTGGTCAAAAAGTTCCCAAACTTTTAAAATTGTACACAAACACAATATTATTGAAAAATGTGATTGCCATTCCTCATAATAATGACTCTGTCCAGCAACCTCATGTTTATTGCATTGTTTTATTAGAGTTAGTCTTTGCTCTTCACATCTTCAAGTAATAATCAAATAATCTGCTATATTTTTATCAGTCAATTCTTCAAAAAAAAACCTTATCAGTTGTGTTATGCAATTTTTGATATAGCTAACTGTAGAGAGCACCATATCAACATTAAATTTTGTGTGAAACTTGGAAAGAGACACATTAAATGATACAATAGTCATGCCAAGATGCACTGAATAATACAACAGTCAAACAGTGATCACCGTGTAGGCTATACTCAGTGCTATGACTGGTTTGAAGTTAAAAATGATAGTGAATCTGTTGTTGTTGATCTGCATTCAAGATGGTTGTCAACATCAACTGATTCACTGATACCTTATTCATTTAAGTGGCCAAAATGAATAACGTAAATCAGTGGTACTGACTCAAAATGCTCAAATAAATCTGAGAAAATGCCAGGAGGAAAAAACTAGAACTTTGGAATGATGACTTGTGGTTTCTCCACCATGACAATGAATCCATGCATATAGTGATTATGATTTGCAAATTTTGTACAAAAAATAAGATGACTGTGCTTCACATCCTTCATACTTGTCTGACTGGTCCTTGCAGACATTTTTATTTTCAAAGTTGAAATCCACATTAAAAAAAAAAATATTTATCATGAGAAATGAAATAAAAACATTCACAAATGGAATTCCTGAATTTGTGAGATTATGGAAAATATATTCCAGAACTGTTTCCAGAAGTGAAAATGTTGGGAAAGGTATATCAACCAAAGAAAGAACTACTTTCAAGAAGACAAGTCTTAATAAGTTTACATAAACCCAAAATATTTAAAAAGTTCATAAACTTTTTGAACAAACTTTGTATATACACGACATCACTAAAAAAAATTTACTGGATTTCAAACAACTATATTTCTCATCCCTTTAACTAATCATTCATGTGGCAAATGCTGTCAAAAGAAGAAACACTCCAAGTTTCATAATTTTCTAAATGAAGGATCCCCATTCCCATTGGATTGGATGCAGTAGACACAATAACTCTGTACTAAACAGGCGATCTCCCAGGTCATCAGATCTCACATCTTGTGATTACTTCCTTTGGGGATATGTAAAAGATTATGTGTATGTGCCATCAACACCCACAAACTTGCAGGAGCTTAAAATGTACTTTGTGACTGCTAAACTGACAGTACAGCATTCACAAAGTGTATTTTAAGTGTGTATATATAAGCTAATTTTAATAACTAATATACACACACACACACATATACACATTAAATTGCTTGCAATCTTATATATACACACACACACACACGTGTATGTGTGTGTGCATATGGATATGTTATATTCATAACTGCTTAACTGGCATCTTATAAAAAGTTAAAATCTTTTATATTTTAATTAAATATTGACTATGTTTGCAAATGTACTGAACCAAAAAATGATTTATATATTGAAAAAGAATTATAAGAAAAATAAAGTTAGAAATAAAGTTTTAGTATAAATTTCATAAATATCAACATAATTGTATATGCAATTTAGATCAGATTATTAAATTTTATATTAATAATCATTTTGTTTCTATTTAAATTCAAAACTGTAGTAAAGTGACAAATTAAATTAATTTTAATTTTATATCCCTAATTATCTTCATATAATTATAAATTTAATTTCAGTAACTTCATACATATTTTTATTGCAAATTTTTAAGAGATTAGATACATTAAAAATATTTTCTAAGCTATTTAATTTTTACCTTGTTTCTGAATATGTAGTATCTTTAATTAATTCAAAATCCCAGAATTTAACATCTTTATCAGCACTTCCTGATACCAAAGAACACTGAAAATTGTAATAAATCTTTCTGTTATCAAACAATTAAAAATATTATTATTATGCATATTATTAAAATCAGTTATTTTCATTTCATTTTTAAATTTTTTTATTAGTATATCCTGTATATTCAAAAAACTATCCACATTTTTTTTCTTTCTAGAAAATCAATGTCTTTCTTAATTCCAAATCCAAGAATTTAAAGAATGTAGTGTCAAAATTCAAATTGCATTTCTGTTACAATGGTTTTTGTATAACTAATGATAGGATGAAAGGCCTATAATGTGGGATAAAAAAACCACTGTAACAGAAATGCAACTTGAATTTTGATTCTACATTTTTTAAATTCCTATCACTCCATGCCATATATTTCAATCATTTGCATACACAATGCTAATATTTTTCAAACTTTGATAGCTACTTTAAATTTAAAATGTTTTGAATATTGCAATATCTAATTGTGATAAATTTTAGTCTCACGGCACTAATTTTTCTTTTAATTAATTTATAATAAAGTTAAATTATATCTAATATTAAAATATGATTTTTTATGTAAAAACTATTCAATACACACAGCTCACAACTAATTCTCATATCACATTTAATATGAAGAACATTCTTCATATATAGTAATCTCTGCTTATTGTACTGTATTCACTTTCAGATTTATCTAAACTGATAACATTAAGCAGGTAAGTAAATAAGACTACAATCAGTGAAAACTCTGGTTTCACTGATGCTAACATTATTATTGTTGTTGTGTTTAGTGGGTATACATGGTTCACACCGGTGGCTGTGTACTATGCCGGACTAGAATCAAGACACAGCAATCAAAACAAAACCAAAATTATATAAGTGTGTCAGTGTCAGTGTCTGTATTCAGGAATTTCCTAACAATATGGCATGTATTCAATATAGTGGCCTTCTGTAGTGTGATGTATGTACTTCTATTCAACTGTAATGTTCCAAGGCTTTTGTGTAGTGTGTGTGGTATCACACCTGTACAGGAGAGAACAACAGGTACAATAAGCACCCTATCCATCCTCCACAGATGCCTTATTTCCTAAGCGAGTTCTGTGTACTTGCTAATTTTTTCAGTGCATATGTTTTGTACACTGTGAGAATTTGGAATGGCTATGTCCATAATGTATGTGATTTTATTGTGTTTGTCAATGAGTGTGATGTCTGGTCTGTTGTGGTAAATTGTTTTATCTATGATTATGGCTCTGTCGTAGTACATTTTGTGCATGTTGTTTTCCAATACTGTTTGTGGAATATACTTGTAGTATGGTTCTGGATGTCTACCAATTTGTGTTTCTTTGCAAGCTCTTGGTGTATTATATTTGCTGTGTCTGTGTAAATAATCTGTCTGTGCCAAGAGCTTACAGCCAGAAGTGATGTGTTGTATAGTTTCTGGCATAATGTGACATTTTCTGCATGTGTCATTTGTGAGTGTTGTATCTTTGAGTATGTGTTTTCTGTAGTTTTTAGTATTTATGACCTGATCCTGTATGGCAATCATAAATCCTTCTGTCTCCCCAAAGAGGCATCCTTGATCTAACCAGCTGTATGATGCAGTTTTGTCAACAAAATCCTGGGCCAGATCATAAGGTTACCTGCCATGGAGTGCCTTTTGAGCCCACGATTGCTTGATGGTGTCTATGCTTTTTATATGTTGTGTCATGTCTGTATGATGTGAGTGTAAGTTTAATGGTGTGCTATTTAAGTCTGCTAGAGTTACTGCTTTATGTAATTGTGATGTTTCTTGTTTCCTGTAGAAAAACTCTCGCAGTGACTGTAGTTGTTTGTAGCGAAGGTTAACTATGTCAATCAGGCCACATCCGCCATCTTTACGTGGAAGGGTTAATCTTTCTGTGGCAGATTTAGGATGATGTTGTTTATGCTTAGTAAGTGTTGTTCTTGTTTTCCTTTGGAGTTGCTCAAGATCTGTGTGAGTCCAATGTATAACTCCAAAAGAGTATGTGAGTACTGAGACAACATATGTGTTTATTGCTTTAACTGTGTGTTTTGCATTTAGCTGTGTTCTGAGGATAGCATTTAACCTACTTTGGTATTCTTTAATTAATCTTTGCTTTATTTGTGTATGTTCTGTTAGCTTGGCCTGTTGGAATCCTAAATACTTGTAGAACTCTCCTTCTTCCATGGATTCAATAATGTCCCCATTTCCAAGTGCAAAATCTTCTTTCTTCAGGATTCCTTTTTCTATGTGAAGTGTTTTGCATTTGTCTATGCCAAGCTCCATTTGTATGTCCTTGGTGTATGAATGTGTGATTTGCAGGAGCTGCTGAAGTTGTTTTTGTGTGGATGCATAAAGTTTTATGTCATCCATGTACATGAGATGTGACAGCGTAAACTGTGTTGTTTTTTCATGTCTGATATTGTAGCCATGTTGCATGTTGTTTAATATGTTAGATAATGGGTTCAGGGCTAAGCAGAACCAGAGAGGACTCAGGGAACCCCTTAAAAAATTCCTCACCAAATGAATATTTGGTTTACAAACAAACCAAATATTCATTTAGCGAGGAATTTTTCAAGGCAATACTACCTGAACAACACTACATCTCAGGGTTAGTAACATTTCAAGGGATTTAAAAAAGTCTAATTATACAGGAATAACAACTATAATAACCAAATTTTGATAACAATGATAAATTTTTCATAGTTTATTCTATCTTTTATGTTTAAGATCAGCTAATTTTGATAGCATTAATTGGAGATAATATCTGCAATTACTACATACAGAGTATGCTGTATATTTATTTATGCTTTAATAAAATTTTATTATTTCAAAATTAAAACTAAATATATTATGTACCTGATTAGGTGACATATCAATCGATGAAACAGAGGATTCATGAGCATCAATGGTTTCTAAACACATAGTTGCATTTATATCAAAAATTTGAAGTTTTCCAGTCTTAAAAATAAAAAAAAACAATTAATATTTTTTAATGATATTTTTTATTACAGCTAATTAATTAAAAAAAATAAAAATAATTGTGATGGGTAAAAAATTTACAAATTTCGTTATTAAATATAACAATCACAAATAAACTGCAAATAAATCAATCCAAATCTATTTTATCTATCATAAGCAGTATAGTAGCCAATATTTTTTGCATATTAAGAAATTTTGGAAATACTGTATGTCATTGAATTATAGTCAAATTCCTCCATAATAATATTCAGCAGAACAAGAAAAATTATTATTGTAGAGAGATTTACTGTTATAATGAGTTTTTAAAATGTATTCTCTTCCTTGTTTTAACATTGATGGACTGCAAATAAGGTTATTTCTACAGAGTTAGATAATGTTACAACAGAAAAACATATAACATTATCAGTCACTTCTAGTACAAGATTTAAGTGATTTTATTGCATGTTATTTCTACTTTAATATATTAAAGGCAGAATCTAAATCTTCCTAGTCAAAAATAATCTAACAAGTAAATAAAACAAAAAATAAAACTAAACTAATTCTAAAATATAATTTCTTAAGGAGAATGCTTTGTTTAATTATTTTAATAAGTATAATTTGCAATTCTAAGACATCTCTGTAAACTTTCTAAGAGAATTTTATATTAAATGAGTTTAGGCAGTAAAATACCAAAAGCATGCTAAATCTGGAAAATCTAATCTCATCTGCATTGATGTGTACTGATCAAAATTAATAAAAATTTAATTTGCATTAATGTTATTGTACAGAAAAAAACTACTGTGTATTTTATGAGTACAGTAAAAAAAAAAAGGTATCGCTAAACAGAAATTTATTGCAGTAGAGAATATCATTCAATTACAAGAATTTTACATTAGGAATTGTGTAGGCAACTACATTATTATATTCTTATCCCTTATAGGAAGATTTATTTTTATATTGATAATCACTGTATCAAGATTTGACTGTATATTAACAACAGAAACAAATTATCTTTGAATATTCTAATAAAAGATAAATATCAAATACATCATCATTTATCATTAAAGATAAATATCACATACATCATCATTAAGTACCATTAATTAAATTATATGAGTATGTTATTATTAGTCAAATCTATTACTTAAACTAATGATAAATGAATCAATTTGAATATATTCATTATTAAGTTTATAAAACTCATGTACTATGGTACTTTTCACAACATATATGGTAATATAGTTTGTAAGCTGTTTATTATTAAATAATAAAATCCATAATAAGCTAGCCAAATGGCTAAGGTGGTTAAGACACTGGTCTACCAGTCTGGTGGACCTAGGATCAAATCCAGGTAAGTCAAAAAATCCCAGATAATTTTTGGGAGATGTCTGTCTAAATGTGTCAGGTCCATCCATCGTCACCCAGCTGACCTATCATAGGTCTGGCTAAACCCTCAAAATAGACTTGGAAAAAAAGCCCTCTTAAAGCCCACAGGGGAAATAAATGAGTAAAAAAATTTTAATAATAATCTATAATAAAATGAATCAAACAAATAATTAATTTATTTCAATCTTATTTATTTGTTTTTTTTAATCTAATTTTATATTCAACCATTTTATTTTTGATAAGATAATTTGATAATGATAATTGTTAAAAATTTTATTACTGAAATAAATAGAGATTCAATCACATAAGAAAAGAAACCTAAAACATAAAAATTTGCACGGATGGTTTTCATACTCAATTTTTAAAATTTATGCATTTGAGAAAAATTAATGTTATTTAATTTATAATTAGAAAAATAAAATAACAATTTACTTTGGTTCCTATGATGCAATGTCTATCTCCAGGAGCAAATAAAGAACATGATGCAGGCTCACATTCCATTGTACACAGGCATTGCTGGTTTAAACTATATTTTTAATGCAAATAAAAATTTGATATTAAGATCAATAAGCAATATTCTATAAAATTTAATTTTTAAATATTTTATTTTGTAAGTATTACTTAATTACTATCAAAAAAACTTTTAAATAAAATGTAATTGTAGAATTTATAAAAAAATAATAATTATTTTTTAAATTGAATTCATATGATAATGGAAAAATATCAAAATATCTCATCTTTCTACAGACTACAATTCAAGTAACATATTTATTTAAAAATCTGTTATTAATCTACTGAAATGTTCTTATAATAATTATTTTCAAATAGATTCAAATAAAAAGAAACTACATTGTCAAAACTTTATCTGAAAATAGTTTCTTATTTTTAATTAATGTTTCCTGAAAATTTGAAACTTTTAATTCTCTTTTTGATAACAACATTTGTACATTATATATAACTACAAAAAAATTCAAAATTTTTCAAGCACTTTCAAGCATAACTTCTCATCTTCAAGAATGTTCTGTTGCTACAGAAACATAAACTTGAGAAAAATCATTCCTATAGTGATTAGATATTTACTATTCACTATTACATCAGATAGAATAATTTATAAAATAATTCAAAATTTTCTAAATTATTTCCATATCACGTATTTTATTTATTTATGTAATATTTTTTACCTAAGTAAATAAAATGCATGATATAAAATCATACATTTAAAAATTATATGAATAAATAAATTAATTAAACCAAAATGTAAAATCATTTAATGATGTGTAGCTACTGAAGTTGTGAACCAGTTCTAGGATATTGCAGGTTACCAGAGTGAAAATGACTCAAAAATATATACAATTTTTTGGGCAGCTGCACCAATAACCATTTTTTACAGTAATATAGATTCCAAATATTTCAGTGCATATTTGATATACAAGCATGGATCATAATTACTACTTTTAGTCATTTCAAACAAATTCTTCTGCTTTTCAAATGAAAAAGTTAAATTTTTATTAAAATTATTATAATTAATTAAATATAAATGCATATTAGGATAATGAAAGTAATAATTAATTTTTCATGCCAAATTCTTATATAAAAGTTTAAGAGCTCTGTTGACATTAATAAGATTTTGATGAGTAAAACACAATAAATACAAAATATTTTGCAAACACTTTCAACATGTATAGAATGTCTTCTTAAGGCAAAATGAAAACAAATTTTAGAATGATATGAATTTTAACATTAATGTTAATATGTTCTAATTGAAGTGCACATATTACTTTTAATGTTAAAATTCAAATCAACATTCTAAAATTTGTCTTCATTTCGCCCGGAAGAAGATATTCTATACATGTCGAAAGTGCTTGTATTTATTTTGTGTTTTACACATCAAAACTTTTATTAATGCTGATAGAGAGTGCTCTTAAACTTTTATATATTAGGCTAATTTAATATGATTAACTAGCAAATATTATATAATAAATTAAAATTAGAAATTATTAATACATAATTACATTAAAAAATTGCCAGGACAAATTCACATACAGAAAAATATATTTCTTTTCAGAATATATATATTATTTATTTAATAATCGTGCTGGCCACCGCTAGAGGACTTTTTAACTCATTTATATTGGACGGCAGACATGTAGCCTCAAANATTGTCCCCGTTATTGGATTTTCCAGTTGCACTGCGTATATTCCCGATTTTTCTAAAACGTCGACTTTATCCCGATCATTGCATATACTCCTGCGTAGGTTGGGTAGGGTATATGCAATGATCGGGATAAAGTCGACATTTTAGAAAAATCGGGAATATACGCAGTGCAACTGGAAAATCCAATAACGGGGACAATTGAGAAGTATATAGGGGCAACGACAAGAATGCTCGCTTGCCGTATCGCGGAACATCAAGATGATATAAACAAAGGAAGACAGACCACAGAGCTCGCCAGAAAAGTTCTACAGCAGGGCTATAACCCGTTAATGTCAAAAACAGCGTTGCTCAGGAGCTGTAACAACAGAAGAATTACATTTATTTGGGAAGCGCTCCTTACAATGACCACAGACGCATGCAACGTCCCCACATTCGACTTGCCCGAAATATGGGTTACTTTATACCAGCGTTTAAATAGCAAAAAGCGCCAAGAGTCGCACAATTAGTACGATCGCTCCTCAACGCATGCGCTGCTAGTCGTGTGGATTTAAAATATTTCGAACTCCAGCAAAAGCTTGTTGCACATGACCAACGGAATTACCGAACGCTATAATTTAGAAATTGACAAGAAAAATTTTCCGTTTTCTACTTGGAACATTCTGCACGTTCTAATTCAAATTTTGTTCTTTTTTCGCATGAAGACGACGATATAATACTCGTCGAAAGTACTTGCGATACAAGAAAAATCGTATTAACGCTGAACTCAGTGCTTTTTATCAAGAAGGCAATAATTAATTTTTCATGCCAAATTCTTATATAAAAGTTTAAGAGCACTGTCTGTTGGCATTAATAAGATTTTGATGAGTAAAACACAATAAATACAAAATATTTTGCAAACACTTTCAACATGTATAGAATGTCTTCTTAAGGCAAAATGAAAACAAATTTTAGAATGATATGAATTTTAACATTAATGTTAATATGTTCTAATTGAAGTGCACATATTACTTTTAATGTTAAAATTCAAATCAACATTCTAAAATTTGTCTTCATTTCGCCCGGAAGAAGATATTCTATACATGTCGAAAGTGCTTGTATTTATTTTGTGTTTTACACATCAAAACTTTTATTAATGCTGATAGAGAGTGCTCTTAAACTTTTATATATTAGGCTAATTTAATATGATTAACTAGCAAATATTATATAATAAATTAAAATTAGAAATTATTAATACATAATTACATTAAAAAATTGCCAGGACAAATTCACATACAGAAAAATATATTTCTTTTCAGAATATATATATTATTTATTTAATAATCGTGCTGGCCACCGCTAGAGGACTTTTTAACTCATTTATATTGGACGGCAGACATGTAGCCTCAAATAAAAAGTCGATATCGCTGTAAATTTGTTATTGCCTTTGCAAAGCGTATGAAGGGACAGATGAAGATGGACTCAATTATATGTATAGTCCGAAAAGAAATATATTTTTTCTATATTAATACATAATGTTTACCTGTTCCATATTTTAATGCTTTCTTTACTTGCAGATAAAATTGATGAGTTGTCAGAACTGAAGGAAAGAGTGTTAACATCAGTGCGATGACCGAGATTTCCAATAGTTTGTACTAATTTATTTTCTGCAGATTTCTTATCGATTCCACTGTGTATTACACTGTGTAATTCTATACTATTATTGTGTAATAAAATTGCAATCTAAAATATAAAAATGCTTAGTTATATAACATTATTATATTGTGAGTAGTAATAAATATGTTACTAATATTGAATTTAAAATAAAGTTATTTTAATATTTGAACATATGAAATAGTGAAATAATTATATCTAAAAACTTGATATCAGGAGAGTGAGTCAAAACAAACTGAGATTGAATTTTCTCCTCATGATAATCACTATGAGGCATAACTTTTTCAAAGTATTATTTCTCATGGAATTCAATGCACTTCTGCTATCATTTCTGACAGTTCTTGAAAATGAATAGTAGGCCATTTTTTGAACAATTCTTCAGAATTGCTTCTGATGTTTTGACCACTGCTATTCTGGATGGAAAATGCATTCCCTACTAATAATACAGAAATGCTGGTAACAGGAAACAGAAGAAAGGTGCCAAATCTGGGCTGTATAGTGGATGTGAAATGAATTAAATGTTTTTCTTTGCCAAAACTTAGCCTAAGTTAGCATTATGCAAGTCGGATTAGAATAATGCAGTCACAAATCACTGGCATGGAGATTAAGACATTTCCTACAGTATGACCCAATAGTGTCTGTACAGAATTGACAGGTATTGTCTGGTGACTGATATATGGTGATGATATCAGAAGTGTTAACAAGTTCTTCAATCAAACTATCACTAGTCTGTAGACTTGTCTGCTTCAATATTGATTCCCAGCCATAAGAGAATGCCTTAAATCATCAAAATGCTGTGGACTGATGAAGGGCTACTTTGCTATATATAGTTTTTAATATTTTGTAAGCTTCTTTAGTTGTTTTCCTAAAGTACTATAAAACTTATTTTGTACTATTCATCATGTTCAATCAACATTTGTTTCAGACAAGCAGAAGACAGCAATTTCTCTGTGTGCTAAAACAGCCAAACAAATCATATGACTGCAATATTTTGGACTTACAGTGATAGAGATCTGGAATTTGTTAATGCTATATTTTTTATAGGAAAAAAGCATATCTCATTTTATCTTGACTTGTCCTCAACATGCTTATTATAAAAATATAATACTATAATTTAATTTCATTTTGAATTTCTGTTATACTCCTTTTTGAGCATATTTCAATATATGATATAAAAAATAATTTTATCTTGAACAATTTTTAACCCCTTTAGTTCTTCGCCCGAGTTAACTTGGGCAGGTTACATTGCGATACATAAAACTCGGTCCTTTCGGCCCCCAAAAGAATTTTTGTTTTTTTTTTTGAATTTTTGGAATGTTTTTAAGTCTCCAAATTTTTTCAAAATTTTTATCGTGATTTTAATCTACTTTTAATGACGCATGATTAACGCTTAATTGTTTTTTAATGAAATTTTTTTTATCAAATTTAATTCATCATTCTAAAGTTGTAGTGCACGGATTTTCCTTTGGTAAAGTTATTTAAAGCTAGTTTCTGATGTCAAAAACCACCTCCAATAGTTTTTTAATTTTTTTAACTAATAGATTTTATTATATATATGTTTAATTAAGTCGGGGGGTCGGAAATCACAATTAAAATTTGAATTTTTGAAAAATATTTAAAAATATACAACCAGCTAGTATTCACTCTACTATAAACCCATTGCCTCCCTAGACTTCTGAAAATGTCCTGGGAAATCCAACTCCAGCTGTGTTCAAGGTCATCCAGCTGTGTAAACAATGACTCATTGGTGTCAAATTTCGCAGAAAGATGAGAGAAAGGAAAATAAAGTTTGTAGCTTTCTCTTCAAAATTAACGCATTTCTTTCATTTTTTTCAGTTTTAAGTAATTTTTTAGTTTAATTACATTAATATCAAAAATTGCTGAGAACTAAAGGTGTTAAAACAGTTAAATTAGAAGAAATCAATCAATCAATCAATCAACATCTATTTGTTATGGCTTTCGCCTTTACAAAGGGGTTACAAGATCTTGTAACATTGACAAATAAAAACATTGTTATACATGGTTTCAAAGATATTAATTAAAGCTTAATTAATAATGTTATGTTAAAATGTTAAATAAATAACAGAAAAATTTATAAACTTTAAATAGCATGTCAGAGCTTAAACTATCATCGTATAAACAATACATATCAAAATCAGTTGT